GTAAAACAGAGCTCCAGTAGTTTTTTTTTTGTAAAAATTTAAAGTCAGCAGCTACTTTAGCTTCAGACATGTAATAAACAGTCACTTAACCTAGGTTCACACTACAGCAGTGCGGAAATCCCATGTGATTCGCACAGGAACCGCACCGCATTCCTGTACAAATCACATGCGATTTGTGTGTGGTAAGATTGGAGCCATACATTATGTATGGCTCTATTCGCACAGCACCCGCACCAAAACACGCAGGATCCTTTTTTAATCTGCACTAGAATTGGATCACATAGGTATTCACACCTATGCTATCCGATTCTGCACATCGCACTGCATTTTGTGGACCGATTTCGGGGTGTTGTTGACTTACCATACACACCCACATCGGTTCGTATGAATGGTGTGCGATTGTGATGCAGTGTGGAATTCGCACTGGAAACGCTGCAAATTCTGCACTGCATCAGTGTGAACCAGGGCTTACATGTTCCCAGATCCAGCAGTGTGCTCGCTCTGGGGGGCTCCGGGGCTGTGTTTGGTCCCCAGCACTGGCATCTTAACTTTGAGTAACCAGCTGTGACAGCTTGTGACTTCACAGCCAGGTGCCCACTGCGCATATGTGAGCTGCGCTGCGCATTGTGATTGGTCCTTTGCAGTGTCCCTGAAGACTTCAGGGAGGGAGGGGGAAGGGGAACTTCCACTTGGATCACCTAGTCAAACCGAGCAGAAGAGGGAGTGGGTACCTGTCCAAACCAGGTACCGGCCCGACCCCCCACTCCCAAAAAGTGTGCCAAATGTCAAAGGGGAGGGGGGGGGCATCAAAAGGGGATTTCCCCTTTTGGGTGGAGTTCCGCATTAAACTGGAATATATGCTGAATGGGATTTAATATCTGAAGGTCTAATAGCACTTTCAGTGCATGGCATATCAAAAGACCTTTTTGATCTTCTGATTGAGCTTTTACCCCCAGACACTAGTGACCCACTGTTAGCACCACCAGGAAGCCTGCTCTATAAAAATGCTAATCAGTCACTCCTGGAGTGCATGCATGTAGACAGAAAGTGGCTGCAAAGAAGCCTCAGGATATCAGCAGCACTGAAATGCAATAATGGATGAAAAAAGATTAAAATGAGTATTATATCAAAAATAATTACTCTTTTTGATACACAGTGCTCTAGTTTACATCTACTTGAAGGGTTAATTTAAAGTACTACAAGAGTAGTTAGTACCTGTAATGACATTATTCAGTGTGTGAATTCTTTGTTTTGTTTGCAGTTGTGGCTCAGTCCCATTGAGAAGTTGTGGCTACCGCGAAGTGGCCTCAGCCTCGGTTCCTGCCAGCCCATGCCCTCAGACGTGTTTCACCCCACCCCTGGGGCTTGGTCTATAATTAAGACCTGACAGCGGGGAGAAATGAGTCATGGGGCATGGCCTAGGAGGAGCTGAGACTCTGGATGAGCATTTCAGATGCTGGCACCCACACTGGCATGGATCTCAGCGGTGCTCCAAGCCATTAGAATGGGTTGCAGTTCCATTGACTTCAATGAGTGAGCTTGACAGGCAGTGCCACCTGTGAAACCTGACAAGCTACATTAAATTTGCTGAAAAGCAAAGCATCATGGCTGTGGCATGTGTGGAACTCTGTCTGTATGTTATCTTTTAGATGGGTGGCTGGGGCCAGTAAAACCACTGCTCAAACATCTGTTTTTACTGCCCCATGCTGCCCATGTATTGGAGCCCTCACTGAGGTTGGGGAAAAAAATGGCTGAGGCTGCATACAAAGGTCATGGTTTTTTTTTTTCATATGATCCATACCGTTTTTCTGAAGAATAAATAACCTGCGATTCTAACTGCTTAAAAGGTGTTAGCTGGAACTAGGTTTTAATTTGTTTATTGCATATTTAAAACTACATGTCCATCTAAGACTTTAGGGTGACATCACTGATGAGTGATTTCACTGCAGAACTAAATGTCACCCTGTCAAAGGATGTAAATAAAATAATGGATCTACTGGCAGGATCAGTAGGTAATAAAAATGTTACAGGGGGAAATCAGAATGCAAAATTTTAGTGTTAGTGACAGGCTCCATCCTATATGTCATTTTGCACATAGTTCCACTTAAATGGAAAAGAAAAAGCTACATGAAAATATTAAAGACTGGCTTATTATTACAGGCATCTTGTATTACAAGTGTGATACTTCCATAAAAAATAAATTATATATATATATATATATAGTTACAATACAATTAAATACAGGAGGAATCAGAGGGTATGTATATATATGTATATATATATATATATATATATATATATATATATATATCAGATAATATAAATATCTAAATATATATAAATATGGATTTACTAAAGGATTCATTTTTATACAGGTCATAGATCTAGATAGGCATACTGCAGGTTTATTTATGGTCATGCAACAAGTATTTTTAGAGGTAGATTAGCAATAGCAACCCTGAAATGTATCTAATATTTGTAGAGTACACAAATTCCAATATTTCCTTTATCTATGTGAAGAGCCTCTATCCTCTTTGACTCAATTGCAGCTTTCTACAAAGGTGTCAGGGATTAAAAATAATATGGCACACCCTTTTTTTAAAGAGGCAGTATATAATTACAAAATTGGAGAAAAGGTGTGGGGTCTACTTTAAAATTCATACCAGGTCAGAAAATGGAGGACAGTGAATGTACTCTCCATCTTTCTGAACAATACAGTCCACAAACCTATTAACTTTGGTTGGAGCAAAGCCTCCACCCTTGTAAGTCACCCTGTCCCCATGTTTTGGGGGCAGGGGGCCTCATTCCTCCATTTAGTCCCTATTGGGATGTGTGAGTTTGTGAGGAGAGGACTAATCAGAATCTGGAAGCCCCCTTTATGATAAGGGGGCCTCATATATTCATCCACCCCCCCCTCAAGGAATTAATAACAGGTACATTGGCACTTCTTATTACTCCTTCCAAGAAATGGTTAAAATTAAATAAACACATCAACACCGTAGATAAGTTTTTTAACTGCATCACAATATAAAAAATGCAAACAATGCCCCCAGGTAATTTCTGCATCAAGCATGCCTTCTAGTGATGTAAATTCAGGGTAATTCACAATGACTCACTTGCCATAATGACCCACTTCTTGATGATATTGCCATGCCCTGGATAGAGGTCTGGTATGAACTGTAAAGGGAACGCCACTCATTTTTATGTCACTTTCAACAAAAGCTTGCAAAAAAGATGAAATAATACAGCAAAATTTGTCTCTCATTGACTTCATTGCAGTTCTGTGCTATCAGGGTTTGTGGACTTCCCACTGGGTTCATCAAACTGCCTACGAACTGATTTTGCCAGGTTCATTAATTTCTAGTGGGCACAATGTAAAATGATAGTCCAGAATATGGAATGTTGTGCATAATAGTGTTGGGCTAGATGTTCGACTTGAACATCGGCCGTTCGTGTGTTCGGCCCCACAATGTACTGTGTCCTGACAGTGCATTGTGATTGGCCAAAGCACCTGACCACAGCCCCCTTGTGATGTCATCACAGTATTTAAGAACAGTCATCCCGGCGTAGCTGTCATACAGTGGAAGCCAGCGTCGAGAGTGGAGCGTTTTTTTTTTCCCGGGTCGGCGGTGGTGGCGGGCATCATGATTAACGTTGAATCTACTTCGGGGGGACATTTTTTTAATTTTTGTTTTTAATAAAGAACTTGTCAAAAACTGTCTACTGTCATTTTTTACACTACACTTTTCTTTTTTCTGAATGAGTAGCGGTGTTATGTACCCCATATTCATTCAAATGGGGGGGGGGGGACATAACAATATAAAATCACTAAGAATATATTACATATACAGTATACTATACATACGTACATTATATTCCTACGTCAATATGAAGTGTGATTGTGATCAGTTTAATATAAGTAATATTATCAAGGTGTGTTAAAGTGGTTGTAAACCCTTACATATACCCAGTGGAGTGACTGGCCTCAGGTGATACACAGAAGTGAAACAAATCCTCCTACATGAGTTGTACCTGTTGATCTACAGCCGTCTTTCCCCTACATCCATTCAAAGTGCAGAATTTACACAGGATCTCTCAATTCTGAAAAGAAGGGGGCGGGGAGCTGAAGTTACATCAGTGAGGAGAGCTCTGAGAGCTGATTGGAATGAAGAGACACACAGAGCACACAGGAACAGAGATGAGGCTGTCAATCACAGGCTGTGCCCTCCCCGTCACCATTTTTCTCTTGGTGTCAGGAAAACTTGTCAGAAGTGACTCATGCTTATAGCAAAGGAATGGGGGAGCAGACAGAAATGTCCCTTAGCGCTCTGGATTGAGAAAAGTACACAGTATAGAGGGATATGTTTTGTTCATATTTCTTGTCTGAGGTTTATGACCAGCAGTTTTTTGGGCATTTTAATTCATGTTACTAGCTTTTTGCAAGTGTTTTTGCACGTGTATCAAGTTTCAAAGTTGGTTCACACCAGAACATTGCGCTGTTAATGCACGTTCCATGTGCACTGTCTTTGCAATCTGCTGTGGGTGCCAATACATTTTTAACGGCACTGCAATCACAAATGCGGTGTGTTTGCGGGCATCAAATGTCATGGTACCGCAATTTGATGCAGCATGGTTTTGAAACTAAGTGCATGTGCTACTTTTACTGCTGTCTGGTGCAATTTTCAGCCCATTCAAATGTTTTTTCTTACCTGGGCTGAGGAAAGGTAGGAGAGCAATTATATAGGAAGAGAGATGTTCTTCAAGTGCAATAATGCAAGCAGCAAAACATGCTTATCATCCATTTACAGGCGTTCCACTTGAGGTCTATGGGGTCAAAAATGCCCAATTACACTAAAAAAAAATAATGCAGTTAATGTATTTCTTTAGACGTAGGGAGTAGAACATACAAGGGATGGGATTCCACATGTTAAACATAGTCAGGCTTTTGTAAACTCATTACAAAACACTCAGGTATGAATGAAGACTTAATGTGTTACTAAACCCTGCGTTCACTTTACCTGGTCTCCCACAGTACACAGAACATGGAAATGCAATTATTTTAGTAAATATAAACTGCTAAGTATATTTTCTCATTAGCAATTAGAGCAGTCTTGTGACTTCTATCAGTGTTCAGTAGAGCACTGGTTAAAGCTTAGGAGTTTTCTTTCTGCTCTAGGAGGACGTAGAACCCCTGACCTCTATGCTGATTGGCCCTGTGCTGATCAAATACACTCACCCAAGAAAAAAAAAAACAACTCTCTAGCAATATACATCAGACTGAGCATGTGCAGAGTGTCTCCACATGATATGTCTTATCAGGAGATAAGAGGGGGGCACTGGAAGAAGAGGAGGATCAGAGAAGTCAGGATCAAACAGCATTTTTACACAATGCAAAGGATTAACTCTTTAGGTTCTACAGTGAGTATAACAAGCATGCTTTACTGCATATACAGACTGATTTTACTGTTGTGGGTTTAGGTAACACTTTAAGCATATTTAAAGGCAAAATCTTTTTTTTTCATTTTGAGCATAGTAGGGAAGGTTATACCTGCTCTCAGTTTTTTTTTTTTTTTATTGCCATGTGTGTTTCATTAGGGAGATTTCCCTTCACTTTCTGTCCTGTAGACACAATGGAAAGTGAGAGGATATCTTTCCAATGTCAGGGAGATCTCCCCTTGGACAGTTGTCACTTGAAAGGGCCCCCTCCACTCCTGTTCTGGTGGTAACTCAAACATTTGGATTTACCCTCACTTTCATATCTGGTGACTTTAGAAATAAGGAGAAACTAAGAGCGTGAATCTCACTAATGAGTACTCATACAGTAATAAAAACAGCGGTTCTAACCTCTCAGCAAATGTGAAAAAAACATTTTCAATGACTATAAATAAAAGCGGCAGTCATGTTTTCTCATCACCTATACAGACCAGGCATACAGTACAGCACAGTGATTACCTTCTATTGTTCTTTTCTGTCAGTGAAAGCCGAGGTGTACTTTGAATACCCAATAATATGTAAGTAAAGTTAAACAAACAGGAATTTTGCTTGTATGTGATTGGATGATTAAACTGAACAACAACTTTCACCTTATTCACTAAGGCTGGCCATAGACGGTTCTTTTTTTAAAATTTTTTGTTAGCTACTGTCAGAATACAGTGATCATTGGCTGTAGCTGATTGACTCCAACTGATCGACAAAAGTTTTTCAACATTCCCGTTTGACAGGAATCGATCGTAAGATTGATTGTCAAACGGGAATGGCCATAGATGGATCAAAATTTGGCCGGTCCCTGCTGAACTTTGAATTTTGATCTGTCCATAGTCAACTTAAGTTGTTACTAAACCCATTACCCTGCATTCACTATATCTGATCTCCCACAGTACACAGAGCAAGGAAATGCAGTTATTTTAGCAAACATAAACTGATAAATACCTTTTCTCATCAGCAGTTAGAACAGTCTTGTGACTTCTATCAGTGTCCAGCAGAGCACTGGTTAAAATTTGTAGGAGGAATTTTCATTGTCCCCTGATTGTCCTATGAGGCTGCAAAACCCCTGACCCTCTGTCTGGACAGCGCTGATTGGTCCTTTGCTGATCACATGCACTCTCCCTTAAAAATAAAAAATTCTCTCTAGCAATACACATCAAACTAAGAATGTGCAGCTTGCTCCCAAGGTTCTCTTCTATCAGCAAATGGATTGGGAACAGTAGAAGAAGTGAAGGATCAGAGAAGACAGGATCAAACAGATTTTTTACACCTTGTGGAGGATTAACCCCTTAGGTTCCACAGTGAGTATAACAAGCATGCTTTACTGCTTATGCAGAATGATTTTACTGCGGTGGTTTTAGTAACACTTTAAGTTAAGTTAAAATGCACTGCTAAGCAAATACTCTCCTTTTCAATATTATTAAAAGGTCCCCTCTGCAGTTAGATAGCACAGGCTCTGTAAACATGTGAGTACATAGCATTTTCACACTGCAGTTTGCTAATTTTAGGTTTTGAAACATTTCCTTTACGGGCCAATTCTGGCATAATTCACATATGTTAAAATCAATGGTTTTTTTTAGCTATAAAATTACTTAGAACCCCTAAACATTATATATATTTTTGTAGCAGAGGCCGTAGAGAATAAAATAGTGGTCACTGCAATTTTTTATATCACATGGTATTTGCGCAGTGTTTTTTCAAATGCAATTTTTTGGGAAAAAAATACACTTTAATGAATAAAAAAAAAAAAACCTCAATGTATATATTTTTTATTTTTTTTTGTAAATGTGAAAAATGATGTTGCACCTCGTAAATAGATACCCAACATGTCATGTTTTAAAATGTGAAGTATTGCTCATTCTCTCCTTCACCCCAGCCTGTACCCGAGTTGCAGGTTTTCTGCATGAAAGAGGGGAACAAGTACCTTTTTTATCAGTCCTGGCTCTCACTTCCTCAGTCCTTGCCTAGGTAAGGATGACTTTGCCTTGTTCCATTCTTCTCCTCCTTCTCCTCCTCTTCTTCTTCCTCCTCCTCCTACAACTCACCTGCAGTTTCCTGGTATACATCAAACATCCAAGGAGGCTGCAGGACCTGTCGCCCTGCTCCAAGTGTTCTTGTGCATGTGTAATAGAGCAGCCTTTCTCAACCAGGGTGCCTAGGCACTCTGGTGTGCCTTCAGGCTTCTTCAGGTGTGCCTTGGCAAAATGCCCAAACATTGTATACAAGCTAGTAGGTGGATCAATCCTGCCTTTTAGTACACAAAATTACAGGTTTTCATGGTGCACTTTTATGACCTTCTAGCTGCCTGCATCCTAACAACCAATGACATCATCAGTTGATAAGGAACACATGGAGTGCATGGACTCATCCTTGTTTGCCCCTCTCTGTCAGACTAGCAGACTTAGGGAGAGAAACAGAGAGACACACTGGAATACTAATCAGTACCAGTATGCAAAGGTCAGGGGCGGACTGACAACTCATGGGCCCCCCAGGCATTAGGGGATCATGGGGCCCCTGTGTCCTTGCCCAAACTCAAAAAAGTCTATGAAAAAGGTACCAGGGGCATCTCATGGGGCCCCCTACTGACCCCGGGCCCTCGGGCAGTGCCCGCGTTTCCAAATGGTCAGTCCGCCCCTGGCAAAGGTGTATTTGCTTTGGAAGAATAAATCACCTCCAACGTTGGGTGTACTGGATGTTTGTATAATAGTTTTTTACATTTTAGAATGGGGTGCCTTGAGATTGTGCAGAATTTTAAAGGGTGCCTTAAGATTCTGCATACTTTTAAAGGGTGCCTTAAGATTCTGCATACTTTTAAAGGGTGCCTTGAAAAAAAGGTTGAGAAACACTGTAGTAGAGAACCAGCTGTGATTCATCAGAAAGTCACAGCCAGCTCCCAAATCCAAGATGATGGCACAGCGGTGAGAAGAATCAGTTGTCGTAAGATAGTGCTGGGCTCCATGGACTGGTGAGTGCCTGTTTTTTCAAAGTCACCAGATACAGTATTTATAGCCTCTGCTTTTAAAGGATAAGTTCACCTTTTAACAAAAAAATAATAAATGCACATTTTTTTGCAAGCAAAAAAAAATGTGCATTTGTTGTTTTTTGTTTCTGGAGCCTCTAAGGCTAGGTTCACACCTATGCAGCTTGCGATTGATCCATTTTCTGCAGTGCTTTTTTGTGTTTTTGCACATGTGTTTTTGGACGCATTTTTTATGCGTTTTTTTTTACCCAACTTGTTGCTGAGCAAATGAAAACAAAAAACGCATCGAAAATGCACTACATGCATTTCTGCAGCATCTCCATTGATGTATAATGAACCAAAAACGCAATGTTTTGACTTTAAAAAAAGTCCCTGACCCTTTCCAAAAATGCACCAGGTGAAAACGCGGAGATGTGAATGTGTCCCATAGGAAATCATGTTAAGTGGACTGTAGTGCGTTTCTGCCAAATGCAAAACGCTTAGGTGTGAACCTAGAATAAAGCATTGCAGCAGTGATCAGCAGATCATTGATGCCATGCAGGTCTCCCTCTGATCTGTCAGTATATCTGCTTGTTCGTACATCCTGTACAAGCAGATACTTACTGACAGGAAGGCTCAATGAACTACCATGGTGCTGTAGAGCATTGTAGTTCATTGAAAACTACAAGCCGGCAGCCGCAAAGGCTGTCGGAATTTGTAGTTTTCTAATTCACAGAATAGTGTGAATGGGTGACGTGGCCAGGTGGGCGCAGCCCCGCACTGAGTTTTTTTTTTATTAAGTTGTGACAGCTAGCAGGGAGGAGAAGATCCCCCACTAGCTGTCACAACAGGGATCTGGGGGTGTGCGGTCCGGTCCAAGCGTAACATGTTACACCCTGAATATGGGTGGAACATGTAACATGTTGCGAAAGGTGAACATATCCTTTAAAGTGGAACTTCACTGAATCTGAGCACCACAAAACAAAAAACGCTGTTTATTTAATTTTTAAATTTCAGAGCAAACTCGCATATCTATCCATACTTTCATGCTTTATTTTGCTGAGAAATCAGGTTGAGAAACATCCCATAGCATTTCTGGTCATGGCCATCTTGAGTAAGGGCAGAAGATTCCTGCAGCATTTACTTCTTGGCATTCATCTGCCCTTAGCTCAGACATGCAAATAGGAGGGTTTGCTTCACTAAGAAAACCCCTCCTGAAGACTCCTGAGATGGATGACATCATTTGCCTAGGCATGAAATCCAGGAAATGTAAATGTTTAAAAAAAAGTTGAGAACAAGTATTTAAGATATACTTACTTATCTATATACTAATGCTAGCAGCATAAGGATTAAAAATTATCGATGTTGACTGAGAGGGCAAAGTTCTGCTTTACATTTTGAAATACTAGTTGAAGTTCCCCTTTAAAAATATTGAAGATGACTTTTGAAATGACATATACATTTTATAACTTAGGTCAGCACAGTGGCTAAATGGTTAGCACTTCCACCTGGCAGTACTAGGGTCGCTGGTTCAAATCTCAACCATGGCACCACCTGCCTGCAGTTTGTATGTTCTCCCTGTGTCTGCATGGGTTTCCTCCAGGCACTCAAGTTTCCTCCCACACTCAAAAGACATGCTGGTAGGTGAATTGGTTCCTGTCTAAATTGGCCCTAGTAGGTATATATATGAATGTAAGTCAGGGACCTTAGATTGTATTCCCTTTGAGAGGGTTAGGGACTGATGTGAATATATATATGTAAAGCAGTGGTGTCCTGAGGCAGGTGCAGGGGGTGCGTGCCACACCAGGTGACACCTACTGCACAGGGTGACACTGGACTTGCTCCACAAAAAATTAAGTTGTAAAGCAAGCCGACAATCCCCGCAGGATGGATCTGATCCATCCTGTGGGGATTGTTGGATTTCTTTACAACTTACCTTTTCGTGGAGCGGGTCCGGTGTCACCCCGTATAGGTTGCATGCTGACGATTGCCGCAGGATGGATCGGGTCTGCGGATTGGGGAGCATAATGGATCGAACTTTGATCCATTATGCTCAATCCGCAGATCCGAACCATCCTGTGGGGATCGTTGGCATGCAACCTATACGGGGTGACACCGGACCAGCTCCACAAAAAGGTAAGTTGTAAAGAAAGCCGACGATCCCCGCAGGATGGATCGGATCTGCGGATTGGGGAGCATAATGGATTGGAGTCCGATCCATTATGCTCAATCCGCAGATCTGATCCATTCTTCGGGGATCATCGGAGGGGGTGTCACCAAGTGTTATCACACCGGGTGACACCAACACTAGGGATGCCCCTGATGTAAAGTGTTGCATAAATTGACAGCACTATAAAAGTACCTGAAATAAATAAATATAAACTAACTTACATGAGATTTTTAGCATTGGGTTTACATCTATATACAGTTGACTGTTAATACATGCTCTGCTTGCAGCCATCAATGAGTTAACCAAAGAGATCAAGAGACATCTCTCTCCCAATAAAACTTTAACAATGTGATGCAGAAGGTGATACCTTGTATGTCTCAGTGATCAGAAAGATCAAAATGGTTCTTGCTGCACTTGTGTTCACACCAGGACACATGACCCCAGATAATGACTTCAAGGAAAGCGCTTCCATCCCTGCTGCTGATTAACAGCATCCTGAGAGGTGTCAGTTGTATCCCTCTCTGGATTGGCTACCTTGACCCCGCCCCCCCCGCAGCTGAGGCTATAGGTGCTGCCCTACAGTGGCCTTCACTTTCCACCTCGGGGCTCAGCGCTGCCTCCGCACCTGCTACCTCATCCCACCATTCCCACCATCGCCTAATCCCATTAACACACCTGAAATAAGAGCTTTAGCCACAAATGTCTTCCCTGTCCCTACAATGACGAATGCTGCGCTATGTGACAATTGCCATTAAAATGCTTCGGATTGTTAGTTATTTTCATTAGGATGGAAAAGTCACTTTGACATCCAGAGAGAGCCAACAAATTGTCCTCAGAGCACAGATTGTGTAAATGACTGAGAAAAATATAGAAACACTCTCTGATCTGCACCTTCCAATTATCTACTCACTCTAAAAGTTTAGGAGAACTTCTTAAAAACATTTTATCATGTATGGCACATGAAATAAAAAAGAATACATAGACTGGTAAAAGTTTTCCTTGCAACAATAAATCATCCATGTTAAAAATTGAGCAAAAAA